TGTGGGGCCTGTTGGGACGGGTTTGCTCAGGGTCTCGAAGCCTTTAGGGACTCTAACTAGTCTAAGTCTAAAGCCCCATGGAGTGACCTGTGTAATTGGAAAAAAAAGGTGCTGGGACTATCCAGTCACTATGCAGGGACTATGTCCGTAGAACGTTCCGAACCCCTGCATGAACCTCAGATGAATCGGATTACAAACCACCATGTACGAACACCCATATCCCACTAGTTACTAGTACACACCTCAATAGGATCTACACATCTAAAATCTAAACCACACAGCCCGGAGTTGTCGATGCCTGAGCTCCTCTTTGAAGCAAACTGAGCTGGGGCTTAGAGTTTCGTGTTGGGATTTAGGGTTTAGGGTTCAGGTTGATAACATCACACCTATGCATCTAAACGGTGACATTCAAAGTAAGCCTTCGGCACTCGTCCCCCCCACACGCACATCCCAAAGATGCCAAAGCGTCGTGAGGGTCACAAACGCTCCGAAGGGTGCCTGAGCATCGCACACGAGCGATCCGGTCCTACCCGATATAGAAGCCTAAAGATTCACTTGATATACTTTTCCCGTATAGTGGCCACGTAAGCTAACAAAAACCCAACCTAAGCCCTGTTCCATGTAATAAAACCCCTACCTTACATAAGTTGGTCATATGCCCGATACCTGAAGCACGAAGCTGAGTGAAGCCCAAACCGATGAGCAGCCCTAAATAAAGAATGAATGTTTCATCTAAGACTCCTGCAGCCTAAACTTAAGTGTTAGAGTCTAGGCTAATAACCTTTAGAGCCCAGGTACATCCAGGTATGTTTTCAGTTGGAATCTGGGTTGGTCCATACAGAGTGCGTCTTGGATCTGACGCATCATGAGTTTATCGGGTAATTTTCTACTTAAGGACCAGGCTCTGGCGGGGTTCCCCAAAGCCCTCCCCTGTAAGGATCCAGAGCCGACATAAGCGAAGTCATTCTAAGCAAAATAGCTAGGAACAGCTTGCTTGGCGGCGTGGTCACAGCGAAACTGAGAAGGGGCACTTGAAGCAGAATCTCAGTGCATTTTGATAATTGCGTCTGTGGACTTGGCCGTTCACGCCGAGGTCATATGCTTGCTTGCCGACTGCATGACGAGGTCTGATGTGCGTGCGGGTGCACATCTGCTTCAGCCTACCCTAATTAAGTTCCACGAAACCCCGAAATCGTGAGCCCTTATATAATCCTCTCGAGCCCCCAAAGCGCCACGGCGCAAACTCTAAACAGCGGGGCTCTCAAGCTCCGGATGTAGCGGTCTTGGTTCCCACATTCAGAAATTCGTGTTCGCTGCAGGGTCTCACCTTCTGTCAGAGCTGCTGTGAGCCAAGGCATGTAAATGATCCGGCTTCCTTTTCGAGCTGGTCGAAGTCCCCTCTCCTCCTCATTTCCTAGAGCCTCTTTCTCAGAGAGGCTGCACGGCATCCCTGAGCCCTGAACCCTACACCCAGAAGCCTAGGAGTACAGCCTAAACCCTACACCCGGATCGCAGCATACCAAAGGATCCTGCACAGGAGTGTTATCTGCCTGACTCGGAGATAGTTGGGGGTTTCCGAAAATAGGGGACCCTAATATAGTACCCTAAATAGTAGGATCCTTATGATAAGGATCCCAAAATAAGGTACCCTAATCGTCGGAAGCCCCTAACTCCCCAGTTAGGGTTTAAGGGTACCAGACCTCACGACCCCTAAACAGTTTGAGATCTCGACGGTTTTGTTTGAGGAGTTTTGTTGAAGGCCTTTTTGCCACGGCATCTCTGGGGAGCTCCAAAAGAAGCCGGCTTAGGGTTTTCAGGGTTTAAGGCTGAGGCTTTGGGTTTAGTGCTAAGGGTCTATGGGGTTTGGGCTCTGGGTTCATGTAGGAGCCAAAAAATGATTAGAATAGGGTCTTGGGGGTAGAATATACTATCATCATCATAAGGAACCCCCCGAAACCCTATGCTAATTATTAAGGCCCCCTCCCTAACTGCAGAACCTCTGTCTTCCTTGAATACTCGATCGTCGTCCCGTGTATAGAATCGGGGAGGGCCATACTAAAATGCCTTGGTAGCTACAGTTGCGACATGTACTACTTGTAGGCCTGACTAAGGCTGTTGAATAACCCACGGGGACAATAGCTGCTGCTTTTTTGGGGTTGGCTATCTCAGAACAGGAACCCAGAGAAAAAAATAAAATATACTACGGAACATAAGCTGCTATCGCCCAGGTGCCACTCTGGCCACTTTTCCTTTGACCCAGGTCTCAGGCGAAATGTCCTCCGCACAGGCTTCGGATTCTGTTCGGGGCATGGAGGTTTAGGATTTAGGGTGTAGGGTCTATGTCGCGTTTACACTGCTCTGAGATTTGTGGCTTCGGGTGCTTACATACAGGGTTTATAGTCTGGTTCAGGAGCTGCGCAGCGGAAGCAAGCGCAACCCTCCCCATGCCCCATTGGTTCACTGTTCCTGCTGGGGAGTTGCCTTGCGGATTTTCGCCTTAAGCAACAGGTTCCGGGCCCTACGTACCCTAAACTCTCCCACGACCCTCCATATACATATTTAATATGTACATATATATATATATATATGTGTGTGTGTATGTATGTATATACACAGATATATAGATATGTATGTGTATATAACAGCATAAACACACACATATATAAATAAGTATATATATATATGTATATGTATAGAGATACATATACATATATACATATACATAAGATACATACATACATACATACATACATACATACATATATATATATATCCGTGTGTGTGTTGTATGTATATATATATACACATATAATATATATATATAATATACATACATACATACATACATACATACATACATACATACATACATATATATACATACATACATACATACATACAAAGAAGCCCTGAGTGAGAGGCACTGAAACAGCCTGGGGGTTTGAAGATGCTCTTCTCTACAGTTCCTGGCTACTTTGACACAGGAACTCAACCGTCTCTCGCTCATTGTTGGAACTTCCTGCCGGCGTGAACCCAAAACCCTAAACGTTCAGGTTCAGGTTTAGGGTTTAGTTTAGGGTCCAAAATACTCCAAGAGAAATCGCACGGACTTTGGAAGCGGCGTCAAAAGTCTACCAGTGCATGCTTCAATGATTCAAGGCCATCAAATTTCAAAAAAAAACTCATGAAGCTACAGAGGAGGCTACGGGCGTTGAAGTCTACTTGAGGCTTCAATGCCAAGGATTAACCCGTCACTAGCCAAAGCGACCTGAACCTGTGTGCTAAGGTCAGTCTCAACAATACAAGACATCAACGCCTAGAAGAAAGTACTCTTGAGGCAAGCGAAACACACTTGAACTCTCTCCGGAATCATGCGGAAAATCGACGCTCCTACGTAAACTGACACCACAAAACCCTCCACAACCTGAGGAGTCAACAACATGATGGGTGCCGCACCACGAAGGCGTCGAAATCCTGGGGTGCCCTGGGACCTCCTCCACCACCGCCGCCTGGTTTAGGGTTTATAGGGAGATTTCCGACAACACATACTGTTTGCACTGCCAGGGTTTTTTTCCATTCTCCGCGGTGGAGGCTGCACATGTGGGGGCCCCGATGGCTGTAACAGGATCTTTGTTGGAGGGGTCTAGTTACCGCGATCAAGCGGGGATAGTAGGACCAATATTGTTCATGCCTAGCAGTGCAACTAACCCATATTTTACTATTCTTCTTACCATTGTAATGGTCCGGAAGCACTGGGTTCGAATATCTTTCCAAACGACAAAATGGGCAAGGTAGGGAGGGGCATTACAAGGTTACTAATCTAGACGTCGGTTTTGTGCGTGTGTGTGTGTGTGTGTTGGCGAGGGGATATCATTACTAACTAGCTGCTCAAGCATCTAGTTTTCCGGGTACCAACCCACCCGCAACCAAAAGACAACAAGTTTAACAAATTCATCTCCCGGCCCTTCTCTCTGTCTCTGGCATCCCTACCCTGGTCTAGCAACAGTGCGCCTTCACATGCCCTTCAGCTGCATCACCATCATAGTCGCCTCCGTTTTCCCACATCGCGATCATCATCACAACTTTTACCATCTCTTGGGAACCTGGGATCCTTCTCAACAAGCCAAGCCTTTGTTAGCCCAACCCATGGGTAGTCCCAGAACAAAGGCTCGGGTGAAAGTATTGAACAAAAGGGTAGGCCGGGTAAACCCCCAAAACCCCGGCTCTGAAGCTCTGAAGCTTCATCCCCCGGCAGACCTGGCTGTCGCATGGACAGGCTCATCTTGCCAGCTTCCAGATCGACCTTAGGGGTGAAGTCTGGGCGGATTTTACCAATAGACTTGACTCTAGAACCTGTATCAAGCTCTTCTTTCAGACCCCTCAACAGCAGCCCATAACGACCCCCAGGTTCCCCTAGGCCCTAAACTGAAAAGCGTCCTTTTCGAGTGCTTCGTTTTGGGGGCGTTCGACTCATCAGTCAGCATTTGGGTAGTTCTCTAAATTAGGGTCTCTTTGGGGGTCCATGAAAACATCTACAACGGCTGCTATACGGGTTTCTATATTATAAGGGTTCTATATGGGTGGTCGGGGCCCTATTTACAAGGGCGCCGTATAATTTGGGGGACCTAAAACGGGAGCCACATTTAGAGAACCACCCCTTTGCAGGGCTTTGGTTTTCCGACGCTTGGCTGATTGGAAACTAAGCCCCAAAACCCTAAACCCCTATACCTTAAACCCCTAACCCCTAAACCTTTCTTCAGCTTCTCGGGGATTACATAGTATTTGGGGTCCTCCGGGGATACCTCGAGCGGAACCATACGGGCTCTAAAGTCAAGTTCCAGGTTTAGGCTTCTCGCTCGCCCTCGACGCCGTGGTTCTTAGTCGTTCTTAGTCGGGAACGGGGTTTAGGGTTTAGGGTTGGTTCCTAGTGGGGAATGGGGGAATGTATCCCTAAGATAGTCCCTTTGTAGTCCCTACTGTGAGAACCATGGAGTCAAGTGCTATGGCGGGTACAGCCCATGGTCAGAAACCGAGACCCTTGGCTGCGGCTGGATTGAACCATGGGTCCTGAGAGCTTGGGATAAACCCCCAAACCCCAAACCCAAAGTGTGCAAGTGCCGTGAAGCTGCAGACTCAATTCGGACCTGCACCTCTTGCCCAATGCTCACGACATCGTCCACGTTGTCCACGAAGCCGTCCTGAAGCCTGGGCATTGATGGAGATTCTGGTGGTTTTCTGGAACTAAAGGTTCTGTAATAGGTTCGAAAGGTTCCTTGGGGCTCAGGGTGCGGAAGGGGGTGCGGCTAGGGGGTCGAGGGCTCCCGGCCTGAATACGGCTCATGGGTCATCTCTTCTGGTACCAGCATACGGCTATACCGCTAATGATTCTTCTGTTGCTTCAACTCAAAGTCACAAGGTTTGACCTCTTATGTGCACGCCATGGCACGACATGGAAGATTCCAATCCCTAAGTCATATAGGCCCTGTGTATACCCCTTAAGCCCCAGAACCTCAGAAGATGTCTGCCCAGCGAGACGCAGATAGTTCGCAATTGAGACCCGAAAAGGATCTGCATTTGGAACAGGACCCAAATAAGGAATGAGAACTCTTATAGTCATGAATCAGAAAGCCACAACTCCAAAGCCTAACACCCTGAGTCCTAAACCCTAAACCCTGCCACCATCGTCTCTTTACTGATACTTGCAGGCACCTCGGATCCCCCAACGGAAAGTTATATGCCCTGGTGCAACCACAGAAGGCCCAGGCTGTAGGGATTTCGGCAATCCAAGGTTTAGGGCTCAGTGGCTTTTCAAACCCCACTCTTCTTATAATGCATTTCACAGCCGGGGGTCTTGGAGATGTGGACCAGCCCATCTGCGGACTCGCCGCTTTCCTGGAAGAAGACCGTGCAGACCACCGGCGTTACGTTGTAAAGCTTATTGGATTTTTGGCGGGCTTAAGATTTGGGGATGTCTTGGTGTTTAGGGGCTTAGGGTTGAGGGTAGAGCAACGTGGCTTTTAAACTAGCTTAGGTCAACAAACGAGTAATTTCTTAATGCCTTTTGGCTTGTGAACTCTTGAGCGTGCACCGCCTGGACTTCCCGACAAACAGTACTATGTACAGGTCGTGGATGAAAGCACGTTCTGCTGTCTGATGGCATGGCATGTTTGGAGTGAGGGAGGGCTTCGTGGATCCCAGAACTTGGTTTAGCGTTTGAAAGCCTAATTCCAACAATCCCGGCGAGGTGGCAAAGGGCGCGTGCAATGGATCGTTTGGGCTGGAGGGTAAAGCCACGCCACAAAGCGCCCAGGCAGGAATATAAAATTCAATGTCCGGATTTCGTCTCAAAGGATCCAAACAAGTTTCAGGAAGTTGGATGATGAACATGCTTCGAAACCATACCTGGACGATTCGCGACTCTGACCCTGAACCCTAAACCGTTAAACCCTAGTGGTGTTTCGGGCCCTTACGGTTTAAGGCTTCCAGTGTAGGGTTCAGGGTTTAAGTTTAGGGTTTAGGGTTCAAGCTGCAAAGGTGTCGGGCTTAGGGATCATGAGCCTCAAAGTCAGTACAGCAAAGCCTTGAAACGTGGGCCAAGTCTCCAAACCCTAAACCTTCACCCGAGAACCCTAAACTCTAAGCCCTTAACTGAACTTTTTTCCTGAACCTGAAACACTAAAGCCTCAACCCAAAGCCATCTGCCCCTAAGCCCCCAAGCACCGAAGCCTAAAGCCTCAAGCCTAAACCCTAAGCCAAGTCTCCAAAGTGACAGTGACGAAAGCTCCGAAAGGCGCCGTTCTGGCGACGACGCCTTTCTGCCACTCAGACGGCAAGCAGTCGAAGAAAGGGTTCCTGAGAAAATATAGGTTTAGGGTTAAGGACTTAGGGTTGAAATAACATACCTATAGTCGGTTTAAGGGTTTAGGGCTCAGGGCTTGAAACCTATATAGTCTACGTTGTAGTTGCTTTGTCGAGTTACCTTATAGGATCCTAAATATGAAGTGAACTAATCCAGAAAAAGGAATTACAATGGAGGCCATAGTTAGCAGTTTTGCGCTCACAATTCGGACAGTCCAGGCGAGGCGAATGGTCGCAGTGTCTCAGGAAGAAACAACACCCACGGGGTTTAGCTTTTTGGGACCCAGGGAGTCTCCAGAGTACCTGTCTAGTAGAAAGCAGGGCTACCAAAGCAGGAGTTTCATAGTATGCTTGGGGTAAGTATCCCTAAGTTCTGGGGGCACTTTGGGTCAAGACTTCACCAAGAGAACACGACCCAATACATAACACCAAATAGGTGGAGTGTGGCGAGAAGCCGCATGTGCGCAAGCTTGACCGAGTTACGAGGCTTTAGCGTTTCAGGGTTGTAGGGCTTCCCTAAACCCTAAACCCATAAGGGTTGTAGGCCCTGCAGGGTTTACAAAAGGCTCTGGGGACGGATGAATTAGGAAAACTATCCCGCATGATAGGGTTCCTGAGATACTACAAAGCAGTCTGGTAAGAGTTCTATTTTTTAGGATTAGACTAGGGTGCCTCAGGGATCTCTATAAAAGGTTGCTAGAAGGGTAGCTAGAAGACTTTCCGAGACCATGTAGGGGTCGAAACAAACGGTGATATGATTCCTTGCTTTCCATTTACACAGATTACAGCATATGATACAATCCAACACAAGCCTACTCTAACTATTGAGGGCCCTGTGGTTGCCTATCCCCTACCTGTAACTCAGCTCAACAGCGAGATAATTTTGGGGTCAGTTGCTCGGCTGCGCGTAGGGTCAATCATCTAAACGAAGCCAAGACTTTCAACCCACAGACCCGGTTAGGATCCTACAAACTTCACACCCGCCTTTGAAAAAAAACACACAGCGAATGAAAGGTTCTATGCCCCGGGGTCTAGGTAACTGCGAAAACCCTAGAGCGTAGTTTTTCTTAGGAAAGGAGTAGGCTGTACGGTGCAGCACCAAGATTTGAAACCGCTAAATCCAGCCCCTAAACCGTAAACTTAGACCGCCGATTCTCGTTCGTAAGAGCAGGATCCGCTCGGGTCCCACTGAGCCCTTTTTCGCAAAGGGTCCTTTGCCCGATAAGCTCCGACACTCAAACGCCCAAGCCCGGCGAACCCCAAAATCCTAATGGAGGGGCCCAAACCCTAAACCCTAAATAAGTAGAAGCAGGCCTTGGCGGTTTATACATACACGGAGGAAAACAAGATGCATCTCTTAGATTAGGTGTCCAAACCCATACTGTGTATACCCGTCGAAGCCTAAAAAACCACAACAGAAGACACCTTGAACCCCCAAATGCGGGTTCAGGGTTAGAGTTTAAACCACAACAAGAAACACCTCAAACTTGAATTCCTAAACCCTGAAACTTCAACCCCTCAACTGCGTGAATCCCAGGGGCAAATCTGCCGGCTCGGATCGACGTCCATCCAATTTACCCTCGACCTGAAGGGCTCTTGGGCTTGCGCTTTTAGGCTTTACGGTTTGAAGTTGAGGGTTTAGGGTCTAAACCCTAAACCAACACCCGATAAACTCAAAAATTCAAGCCTGAACGTTCAGGTTAAGCCTTCACACGTTCAACAGCGTACCACACCTTGTCGGGAATGTAAACACATGGCATTCTAGTCTCACTTCCCTAAAAAGTAAATAAAATTACGCCATTTACAGGTAAGTGCATGTCTGTGTACAAGAATTCCTTAATTAATACTTCTGTATGGACAGTAATTACTGTCGTTAATAATACAATATAGCTATTGCCAGCACTAAACCCAACACGTTTGAGCCCGGATCGGAAAATGGACCCTCGGGTGCTCGTGTGTGCCCGACAGGGTCGGTTCTTGAACCCTCTGGGACCTTGCCCCTGCCTTCCTGCGATCCAGAAAATTTGCGTTGATTTTTGCTTACTAAATTCTGCTTAAAAAGATGCAGTTTAAGTAGGCCGGGTGCTCATGTTAAGGTCCTCCCCCTCCGTTGCGTGTGCCTGCTCTTACGCCCCTCTTAGGCCCTAAGCCCTGTCAGCCAAAATCAAAAAATGGTGACAGCCTATTTTTTGGTATGCTTCAGAACTTAAGCTTTTTACAGAAGGTCTGGGTGGCTTCTCGGGGTGGGGACTGTAAAGCTCCACGTTCGTGACGGAACATTTTTACTCTGAAGATCGCGGACGTACGTCGCGAAACCTCGGTCCGCAGATACCCATACACCTACCGCGGACGTTTGGTCGACACCCCCCATAAAAACCCTAAACGCTCAAACCCTAAACCCTAAAAGCCCTAAACTGTGATGCGGGTTTAGTGTTTAGGGAAGATTAGGGCTTCGGAAACTTTAGGGCTCAACGTTCCAGAGTTTAGGGTCTTCGGGTCTTGATGGTGTGCTGCATAGGTTTTTCCATCTTGAGGGTTTAGGGTTTAGGGTGCTGGGATTTGGGTATAGGTCTGGCTTGAGGGCTTTCAGTCCTCACGTTGTGTTTGTCTCCGGGTCGATAGTCTATGGTTCTCGATGGTTGTTGTAAGCTTCTTTGGAGGAGGGGGGTATGGTTTTAGCTTAGGGCTTGACTTATTGTAAGCCACTTGGGGTGGGTCGGATTAAGTTCGGGTTCGCCGGTTTAGGGTGCAGGGCTTTGGTTTTGAAAACCGAATCACTAAAGCATCAAAGACATAAGTTACATAAAGCCGTTTAGCACGAGACCGTCGTACAGTAGGCATGTGTAGAGTTGAGGGCTTAGGGTTTAGGAGTGGAGGAAGGGTTGAGGCTTCTAGGTGAACACTGAAACAACCTAAATCCAAAACCTTTTGGCTGTGACCCACCCATGGCTCGCCGTGCAGCAAAGGCTGTGAACAAACAATCCTAGACGCTAAACCCTAAAACCCCTATAGTTCCGCCAAACCCTAAGCCCTAAACTGTGGCTCAGGCAAACCATCTGAATAATACAACAGTACATACTTATTATTTTCATCTGTCATACAAAACTGCCTTATTCATTATCATCTGTTTCTGAGAGCTTGAATTTGGCTTGAATTTTACTATTACAGAGGTCCAGAAGAGCGTTGGGGCCTCGAGCTCTGATAGGGTTTATGGGGTTTACGAATTACGTAAGCACAAGGCCAAATGGGTAGTTACGGGTAGTTCTCTACATTAGGGCCCCTTTTTTGTTTTTTTTCCATAAGGGCGTCGTACTAGTTGGGGATCTAGAAGGGCCCAAACTTTAGAGAACTACTAAACAAAAGTGTTTAGAGGTTCATTGGAACCCTGGAGATGTCAGAAACATGTTCATACCTTATTGCTAGGCTTCCTGTATTTAAAAGCAAACAACCAACAAGTCTCTTGCTGTTGCCAAGGCTGCTGATGGGAGATTGGGTGCTAGCAGGACGAGTTTGCTGATAGCATTTGTGGTACGGTTAAAGGTTTCGGGTTTAGGGGATCAATAGAACACTCTGGCTCCCCAAGACTTTAGCCATAGGCTCCAAAGTAGTTCCTTTTTTTGGCTTATATTTAGGATCCTACAAGGTAACCCCAAAAAGGAACTACTTTGGAGCCTATGGGTATGGTTTGGTTATGGACCAGTGGGGACTCGTGGCTGTATACGCCAGCGTGTATGCAAGCTCCTATTGGATATATCCGGAGCGAGAGTACTGGCCCCTACCCTACACCCACCCTCAAAGAAGTCGAAGGCTCGAAATACAAAAACACATCCAAGATGCCATGGTGAGACCAAACTTTCCGTCGTCCTGCATGAGACGTGGCTTCGGGTTTTCCACAGTTCCGTTCGTGATTATCACTCCTATTGCTATTCTAGGGCTTCCTTATCACTCGCTTCTTAATATGACCATCACCATGGTTATTCTGCATGTTGTTATTCTTGCATCTATTGCTACTATTACCACCATGACGCGTAGTATTCTTGGCTGTTCTAACCTGACCCCTAACCCTATCCGTAACCTTAAAACCCCAATCCACCGAACCCCGAAACCGCTCCTAACCCTTAACACCTAAACTCGTAACCCCTAGACCCCAAAAGCCCCAACTCCTAAACCCCTAAACCCTAAGCCCATTCTTCTGCTCGTTTGTTCCTGGGGTCTAAACCCTAAACCCCAAGTCCTAAACCCGAAACCCTTAAAATCATAAATCATAAACCCGACAATAAAGGCCAAAAAGTTGGAACATCATTCTCCTCATGATCATGACCTTCAGCTAAAAAAGTACCGGGGATCCTAGCACCTCATTGTCTTAAAATCCATGTTCCTACTTTTCTGGGGCCCACTCCCTAAACCCTAAACCCTAAGCCTATAAACCCTAAACCCTAAGCCCTAAACCCTGAACCCTCGGATCTCCTGCTTCCCGGAGATCCAACACTCGATCTCCTGACCCTCGGAGAGCTCGTCGTAGATGTTGTCGATGCGCTCCATGGAGATCCTGGAGGACGCTCATTTAATGAGGGCTTCGGGGGTAGGGTTGAACTAGAGGGTGTGTCTATGATGAGTGTTGGGTGTTTTCAGGGTGTGCTTTGGAGTTTTGGGGGGCTCTCCAGGGGCTTTATAGGGTTCTGCGGGGTTCTTATGGGACTTTGGAAGGCTTTACATGCCTGTATAGGATCTTCAGAGGTCTTCATAAGGTTCTTATGGTGCTCTCACAGTTTTGTATATGGTTCCACATGGGTTCCTATGACTCAAGCATGTACCTGAAAAACCTTTGGGGGGGGGATACTTATGCTCCCTAAGACTGTCTGTTCGGAAAGGGGTGCAGGAGTCTCTGTTTATGGTTTGAGGGGCAGTCAACCTAGAGATCTTTGGGGATTTAGGGCGGTGTAGGGTAAATGCAGGTGTTGGCGGCTCCCTATAGGGACCACCGGAGCTCCAAAAGAGGAAAAGTTCAAGCCCTCATGGTTGGAAAGTCGAAGAAAGGGCTTTCTCCCACAGTTGGGCTTCAAGGATTCTGAAGCCGATCCCTCTTTTCGAAAACTGGAGCTCCTCTACTCTACCTTGCCCATGTAGCACCCTAAGTGGGACCTAGACTCCGAAACATTCACACACACACACCTAAACTCTAAAGCTCCACTGTTTAAGGTTTAGGTTGGAGCTATGTTCTCATCCTGTTCAGCTGGGAGGTCACCCCAGACCCCTAAACCCTAAGCTTCTAAACCCCAAGCCCGAAACCTCCCCCAGACACCAATAATTATCAGAGATTTGCGTCCCTAACCTCTTTGTTTGGGGTCGCTGCACGAGTTTGACGACAAACAAAGAACTGCACCAAAACCGGACAACCCACCTGAACCTGACAAAAATCCAACAAAACCTAAAATTGTACCACTCTTTTCCCTGCTTTCGGGTCTGCCCCTTGAGTATGCAAAGAGTACCCTTTTTGAGAGGCACGACACGGAAATCAAAGAAATTAACTCCGAACCTTACGCCCGAACTCCCAAATTCCGAAATCCTAAACCCTTTCAGGAACCCGTAAGGACTCGTTTAAGGGATCCTTTAAACTTTAAAGCGTCCCCAGCCCGCCTGGAGATGTGCAGCAGGCCGTCGGCTTCCGCACCGATGTCTACGAAGGCGCCGAAATCCAAGATTGAGCGCACAGTGCCTTGGCGAAATATCAGGGTTTAGGTTTAGGGCTTAGGGTTTAGGGCCTATAGGTCCTTATAGGGTTTATGGGGGTGTAGGTTGGTTTAGGGTTTCTTAGGGCCTGTAGGTCCTTAGGGTTCATTCATGGGGGTATAGGTCCTCAAGGCTTTGGGGGTTTAGGGTTCCGGGCACTTGCATCGGAGTGCCCGTGTATTTCGCTCCGATCTCCAGATCCTCCACAGGAATCGGCGGATACTTCATCTCCTGCATGCAGAGGCCGTTGTCTGTGCTTTAGACTTAGAATACACAGTTTGCGATCTCTGGCAAAGCACTTATGTGCGTTTTGGGATAAATGGGCGCGGGACATGGGAGTTCGCGTGCGGCGCGTAGTGGAACCGCAAGTTGCTGGACTGGGATTGCAGATTCGGATTTGGGGTGTGGCTTGACGAGGAGGTTGGCTTCGTGGCATGGGTTTTGGAAGTGTCCAGGAGTAAAGAAAGCTATTCTACAGCACCCATCCCAGCGACCACACCATCTCATAATTAAGGTCCATATTGCTAACGTAGAGAACATTTAGCGCACCGGAACCCCAACACTCCTGCCCCCGGTCCCCTTAACAAAGCCCCAATAAAGGCCTCTACATCCTGGGGTCCTTACGAGAAGAACCACCTCTAAAGTTGCCCTTAATTTTCTGAAGCCGCTCGTCACTAACATGTATTTTGCAGATAATGGCGTTTCTGCCTCATCCAGGTCTCAGGGCATGGCCTCTTTGTGAGTTCTGCACAATTGACAAGCTGAGATGCGAGTGCGAAGGAGCCCAGCGTCACTCTCACTGCTGTTTTTGGCTCATGGTCCTCTCATCTTGCTCGGTATCTCCTCGCTACAAATACCCGGCTCTTCTTTCGATACCTGCTTTGCTGATCGAAGTGCTGCTCTCCCTCAACATTTCCACTCCCAAGCCTCAACGCTCAAAGTCTGGAGCTCCGAGCCCGGCAGCCCTCAAAAAAAGCACGCTGAACTCTTAAACCCAATTTCTTAACATGAGCCTCATTATCCCCAGAAGTCAAGCCGGAAGCATCCTGCAGTCTCGAATTTAAGCCCTGATTATGCTTTAGGCTTTAGGGTTTGTGGAGTAGGCTTTGAATGAATATAGAGTGTACTTTGCAGCAATATGGGAGCCCTAGCCGCTACACCCCATTAAACCAGAAGACCTCAACCCCAGCCCTAAACCCTGAACCTCTAAACTCCCTTTCTGAACAGGGCCTGCAGCGCAAACTCTTAAACACTTTCTTGACCAAAAAGACTAACCCCTAGACCCAAAGCACGAAAGCCCTTAAACTTGAACACCCAAACCCTTTTTTGCTAGACACTAAAAACGAAAAGCCTTAAACCTTATCTGTAGCCGAAAAGACCTACCTTTTTAGGGTTCCTTATGATGGTTTCTATATACCGTTCCTTAAAAAAGGTAGGTCTTTTCGGTTACAGGTAATCACTAAAAACCCAAAACCCCTAAACCCCAAACCCTAAACCCGTTAAACCCCTAAGCCCTAAACCCCTAAGCCCCAAGCCCTAAACCCTAAACCCTAAGCCCTAAACCCTAAGCCCGTTAAACCCCTAAGCCCTAAACCCCTAAGCCCCTAAAGTCCCTGGGCGCAGGGGGGCTCCTTGGGCTGCACCTGGGACTCCTCCGGGCCACCATCGGGTTCGTCCCACTTCACCTGGCTATTACAATATATACACAATACACACATACGGTTTAGGGTTTTGGGTTTTGGCAAACATATATATATATATGAGAGAGAGAGAGATATAAAAGGTTTGGGGTTATAGAATAAGTTATATATATATATACACACACACATACATATTTGTTTGGGTGTATTTGCATCGGGAGAGAGAGCGCGCCCGCGGGTGTGTGTGTGTGTGTCTGTCTGTGTGTCTCTGTGGGAGTCTGTCTGTCTGTCTGTCTTTCGGTCTGTCTGTGTGCAGGTGAATACGTATAGATGTGTGCATGTGTCGATTAACCGAAAGTACATGGGCCCTGGGCAAGCTATGCACATATACATACATACATACATATATATATATCAGATCACATAATGCTAGTGTTCTTGTCTTATGCATCGTAGTTCATCTGCTTCATGTTCGGAGGCCCCTACAGACCAGAGGGGTCATCACGCGGCTACCCCTAAACCCGAAGCCCTAAGAAGGGCCCAGTCACGGTGAAGCTGCCGTCATCGTTCTTCTTGGCCTCGGGTCCGGGGCTTTTGGGCTTCTTGTTGGGGTGAAGAAACATATGAAGGCTTGCGGCTTTCAGATTTGGGGAATTTAATTTGTAATTAGCTTTTTTGGGCTCAGGGTTGAGGGTTTACGGCAAAAGGTACAGAACAACAGCTGTACACCCATCCAAGTTACTGAGAGCAGCAAGACTTGACTGTTCTCAACATTTCTGAACTCCGGCCCCGGCCAGATCCTTACACCACGGTTCAAGTTTGAGGGTTTAGGGTGCCTTACACAGGCTTGCTGCCTAAATGCAACTTCCGCCAGGTACCAGCCGCCGTCATCCTCAAACACCGCCTCGACTTTCTCGCCGACTTTGTAATCCTTTGGCGTTTTGGAGCTTGCCGTGGCCAAGAGTCTAGAACATTTCTTTAGGCTGTTGCTTATCGTTGCCTCCGGCATAGCTGCCATCGTCAATGGAAGCTTGAAAGGAACACATAGTGTCTTCGCAAGGGTGTTGCAGATACTAGGTCAGGTGCTCGGGTGCATGTTTCGCCATAGGTCCTGGTGTTCACGTGGCTTTATGATGGGAACAGGACCCTGAGAGGGAACCCCAAACCCCAAAATGGGAATAGGACCCTGAGAGGGAACAACTTGCAAGGTCTGCAAGGCACTGGTGCTTTCGGAGTTTCCGAAGCACCGGGTTTAGGGGTTTACGGTTTAGGGGCTTAGGGTTCAGGTTCAGGGCAGTCTGACCAAACTTGATGTCTTTAGTGGCCACCTGCGAACATAGGTTCTGACGAACGAATCACAAGCTTTGGCAACCCAAGTTAGCATCATACGCCTACGGTGTTTTTAAAGGCTTACTCATAATCAGGCTCTTATTTCGAGAACTACTGTGATGGCAAACATGGCCAGAAACCAAAACTACAAAGCGAACGCCGTGTGCAAGTCTCAGTGAAAATGATGATCTTCTTGATGTTGTCGGCTGCGACATCATGGCTCTCCTTGCATTGTTCCCTAGTGTTATATTATCTCATCTTATACAATGGTACAGTATAGTTTGGTATCGGAAGCCCAGAAGGGGTGGCGGGTTTGAGAGGCTCTGACGGCCCGTCTTCGAAGTTTCCTAAGCGGGAACTGAGTTGGGTTTAGGGTGTAGGGCGTTGAGTATGCAACCACAGAGAAGACTCCTGTTTCTACAAGACGTACTCGGGCGCTTATTCTGGATGGCAAGTTCTTGTGGTGGGGACATAGACATCAACCCTAAATCCTGAAACACCAATGAAGGATTTGGCTTCAGAAAGTTCGGCGTAAGCGGATTAGCCTTTGTTTGGTAGGCGAACCCCTGGCTTCTGCGGCTTCGGGATGCTACAGGATGTAGGTGGTAGGGAACGCTGACCAAGGCAACCACAATACGGATGACGCGGCGATAACCATCAGACGGAAGGAACAGGTCGCATGTGTAATTATGTGTATGTATGTATGTATGTATGTATGTATGTATGTATTTATTTGTGTGTACATATATATGCAAGTATATATATATGTATGGATTAGTTTGCTTACTTGTTTGTATGTGTAAATATATATGCACATAAATGTATGTACTTGTATGTGTATATATATATAATTATACACATGTATGTATGTATGTATGTATGTATGTATGTATGGCTTGAGGCACAACCTGTTCTTGCAAATCCAATGTAGTGATGCTGTGCACAGTTGCACCACGAATGAATGTGTACTCACGTCACATACCCCATAAATACGCGCCTTACCGTATTCACCATAGGTATATGTATGGTTTTACAAGATCTAAAGTCATGTGTATGAGTGTGCCTGAGGGGTATGTGCCTTCTTACAGCTGCCACCTTCCAACCCTAAACCCTAAACCCTAGACCCCTAAACCCTAAACCCTAATGCCAAGGGGCTGGGCCTCCCTCAGGGTCCTCCCACTTGACCTTGTAGGTGCCATCGTCGTTAACCTTTTCGACTGTGCCGGGATACCACTGCTCGTCATCCGGATACCTGCTGGGGCATTGCTTGGGCGATTTCTAGGGTTCCAGGTTTTTAGAGTTATAAGGGCCTGATACAGATACACTCCACAGCGAACGATGCTTCTCCTGTCTTTCAGTTTTGTAGACCCGAAATTGCCAAAAGGCAGTATACTTAATTTGTCATGACGTACCTCACCCCATGAAACTCCATATAACCCCGTAAGCATGAAAGGGCACCCTGTTTCAAACAACAAATATATATATATATATATATATTCGTTGCTTTGAGGAGGCCCAAAACAGCACAGTAGAGCACAATGAGCTACGTGTGGCGTTCACATCCCAATGTAGGGGTCTCAGGGCAAGAACGGTGCTTTTCTTGAGGGTGGTGTGGTTTTTTTTGCCCTAGACATCCCTAAACCCTAAACCCTAAACCCAAAACCCAAAACCCCTAAAACCCTAAAACCCAAAACCCTAAACCCTAAACATGACAAGGAAGTCTGAGAGTCTGAGGAGCAAGCCTTGAGGCCCTTACCCACGGGCCCCCAAGCAGTTCCTTTTTGGGATTGCCTTATAGGATCCTAAACCCTAACCCCCCAAGTACCTACTATATAGGGCCCTAGGGGCTCTAGTACCCTATATAGTAGGTACCTGGGGGGTTAGGGAAATAGAAGCCACAGAAAGGAACTATACTTAGGGGCCTATATGGGTATATCAGGGGGTGTAGACAAGGGTGAAGGGTTGGGCCTGGACCCGGAAGCCCTAAGAATCGAAGGACGCACCTACAACGGCCTTCATGTTGGGATTTTTGCTACAATTCGTTTTAGCGCGCTTAGGGTATCCCTTTTGAGATAGGGTGTGTTTATGGTATACGTTATGGCCAAGATGCATGGCGTTCACCTCGTCGCCCACGGCGAGCTTTGCCGAATCACTCTCACCTCGTCAGGGGGAGAGGGATCGGCGCGGTTCGAAACAGAGTCCAGATTGGGGGTCACCCTACATCAAAGGATTGATAAGTATGTGTTCACAGGAAGCGCGCGAAATCACGTTAAAAACACAAGCCATTGATGAACCACGTACTTTCATGCTTCGGCTTCGAAGAGTCTGGGAGACTCGACCTTTCCAAACAGTCCATCGTGTTTGGCTGTCCGCCGAGTACCGAATGAAACAAACTTAAACCCTGAACCCTGAACATGTTAGACCCCGGGCACTTCCAAAGTCAGCGGTAGGCCTGCTTGAAGCTGTATGGGTAGTATACTGAGGTATGCCTATGATGTGTTCTGGCACCCACCACGTTGGCCTTCGGATAGGGGTGACCAGGTAGGGGTGGTTTTACGTCCAGGCTGACCCTGGATGGTCAATGACGTATGGCTATGAGAACCTTGGATAGAATTCGGGCCAAACTTAACTTTTTAGACCCTACATGACCCACTACAGGAAGAGGTAAACCAACAAGTTAATGTCCAAAGCTCCTGCCTAACTTCCACAAGTAAACATACCTTTCCGGGTGTTCACGAACCCCGAACCCTAAAATTCTAAACCCCGCGACTCCGCTTAGGTGCCCTAAACCCCTCAACGGTAACTCCAAGCCTAAACAACAGCCCCTCGAATCCTCAGCTCAAAACCCTCTTCACGTACCTCCACGCGCATGGAGCCGAACATCCCGCAGAGCAGTGGGTTGGCGCAAAGGTCGGGACGAAGGTGCAGCTGGCAGCACGAAAGAGGGTGCGTACCTCGGCTGTGGCTTGAAGGGCTCTCGGGACCCTAGCGTACGATGTTTTTTTGTGAACGCCTTTTTTATCCGACTGCAGGCGCACCCAGAATTTTGGTGCGTAGGGATTTAGGGTTTAGGGTTTGGGGTTTAGGATGTTTTGGTTTTGGAAGACCATCAGAGTAGGGCTTCGAGGTGCATGATTTAAATCGGGTCTGGGGGTTCAGAGTTTAGACTTCTGATTATGGTCTCGCGGGTTTTGCGTTGTTTTAAACTCTCGGTCGACCATCGGGCCTCTCGGGTTTAAAGTTAGGGCTTACCTTATAACTCCCAATGAGCCTGCCGCTTTAAGGACCGATGTAAAGTAATCATAGTACGAAGCCCTAAAACAGTAGGTTCAATCGGGCTAAGCTAGGGGAGGCTCTGGGCTCGGAGGATCCGTCTGTAGAGGGAGTTCCTAAGCTACAGTACATGTGGGCAGTTACCTAGAACGGCTAGTCATCACATGATCGAGATGCTGACGTGGAGTACCGGCTGGCGGTCTCATTGTGCTAGAGTCCTTTTGGCCGGACCAGGGTAGATCGCCAACCTATAACCCATCAGCTACTACGGACAAAAGGGAACCTTGCCAGATCCATGCCAAGCTGCAGGTATGCCACAAGTGCCAAAAGCAAAACTAGCGGGTTCCTGGAGAGGCCGTCTTGTTCAGGAGTTTAGGATTTCAGAGTTTAGGCTGTTGCTCAACCGCTTTTAAGGTACGGTTATAGAATGTTCACGGTAATGAAAGGTTCAGTAACGGCTCCTGACGGTGCCAATTTCGCACAGCGCGTGAAAACTCTACCGGCACTGTAGAGGACTCACGTCGACAATCGAGAGGTTACAACCTAAAATTGTCGTACTCTGAAGCCCCCGAAACCCAGGTACACAAATTGTTATTTGCATATGGATCGCAAACCCTACAAGCGCTAAGACGGAACGCGTAGAACCTTTAATTGGGTGAGAAACCACAAAAAAAACAAACAGCACAGCATGGAAGCTTGCACCCTGCAGGAAACAGCCTCGTCGTTCGTGCTGATCTACGGGCTGCCTCGGCTCTGTACATCGATTCAGGACGCAGGATATGCTGTAGGTAAGTTGATGTAAACACTGTGGCTCTGTTCGGGGCGTGGATCTCAAGGCATCACCTCTCGTGTGAAGCCTTTGGAAACCCGACGATATGCGGAGGTTTTATATTGTTTTCATGATGCGCCGGGATGCGCTTGGCATTCTCCGGTTTCTCGGTGCAGGGCAAACCGAATTTAGGCCACCCACACCCGGTAAATATCCACAGCGGCTGTGCTCTTCCCCAAAACCATAACTAGTTAGTTTTCGAATCAACTTCCAATCTAGCTCCTGATTCAGGCCACCCCTTCAAGTTGTTTTCACAACCTAAGCCCCCAACCTGACCTCTTACCCTAAACTCAACAGTCTCAACAGCCCTCAACCTCAGCCGCACACCCCCCAAGCCCCAGAACCTAAACTCTACAAATCTCACACCTAAACCTTGCAGAGTCTTGTATAGCCCTAAACCCAAAGGATGCAAGAGCCAAGAAGCTGAGACAGCCATGGCCGTGGCGAGACGAAAGCACGATAAGGGTGGACCAAGAAGGGCAAAACTGCTGGCTGCGGTCGTGGCTAGAGTTCTATGGTTGTTCTGGGGTTTAGGGGCGCCGCATCAACAGGTAGCAACTACATATATGTGTGAAAAATGCTGGCCATCCCTCTTTCGACATCTTGCATGGTCGAAGGCACAAATATTGAAAGTAGTTTCGGAAGAGTTGAATCTCGAACCCCGCAGCCTCGAGCTCGAAAAACCTCCCCCGTACACAAAGGCCTGTGTTCGGGGCTGAGCACCGAGCCAGTTAACCTTGTTGTGCCTTTTTGATTATGGCAAAATTATGAAAACGTTACTTACTCAGCTACTGCTTGTAACAATAAAAACTAAATGCCCGACCAACGGCTCCCCGGCTCGGCCTTAAACTCGCCGTAACTAGAGTTTGGGGATTACCTGAGCCCTACAAGACTTACCTTTCTAGTGATCAAGACAGCGAAAAAAATCTAAGGAACCGTTGGAGCTGTGTGGCCCACGGAAGTTTAAGGTCGAGGGTTTGGGGTTTTAGGGGTTTAAGAAACCCGAAGCCCTACAGCTGAAAGCAGCTTAGGGTTTCTTTGTCACTCGCCCGAGCACTCGCTCTCGACTATGTCAGGCGAGCTTTTAGTTTGGTCTTGTCGAATCCGGTTGCCGGATAAGATTTGGGCATGTTGGTTTCACCACTGTTTTGTCGCGCGACATCCTGTGTGTAGGGTGCAGGGGGGCAGCAAGCCATGAGGAGGGTGGTGGTGGTGGTGGTGGCGCGCTGGCTGGGAGTTAGGAACGGCGTCCAAGAGCAGCTGGCGTCCACCACCGTGCCGCTCCTCCTCTTCCTCCCGCTTTTGGCGGACACGTTCAAGTCTCGCTTGTTCCAATGCATTCGCTCGGTCCACGAGTGTGTCGCGCTTTGTGTCACGGACAGCTTTCTTAGGATCGCTGCCGTGGCCGATACGATAAAGTATCGACGGCAGCTGGCTTGGCCCATACCGCCAGACGTAGCCGATGCCAGGAATCCCGCAAGTGTGTCCTTTCTTTTTGTTGACGTGTGTGCAGAAAGGACAATGTGCTAATTTGTGCCAGGGCGTGTGGCACAGAGAGCACACGCAGCGGGGCACAACATGCGGCAGGATGTCGCGGACAACAGCCCACTCCTGAATCCACCGCAACAGGACGTCCCGCCAACGGGTCAACTGATTAAAGACAGCTGCTCGGCCACCCCTGTCGGGATGGCTTTGCCGTCCCACCTTCCTCCACTGGGAGTGGATGGTGGGTGCCCATGTCTCGGAGGAGTGTTTCCACAAGGTCGTGTGGTCCAGGCCCAGCCCGTCAAAGGCTTCGACAACCTCGTCCACTTGTACCTCCTCGTCCTCCTGACCGGCAGGACCTTGATCCTCCCCTTCTCCTTCTTCATCCGACATGAGCTCGTCCAGCTCGGGGATGTGTGACGATACTCATCACCGGTGGCTCGCCGGGTATGTATTTCCAAAAACCTTTGTAAAATTTGTGCCTGGCGATGGCTCGCGCCTCCAGGCCGGCCAGAGTGACTCTGGCATGCTTCGGCCTTGCCGAGATCGCAAGTTCCACCTTGATGTCCTTGCCCATGGCCTCACAGGCAAGTTTGTGCAGGCGAGGCCGGCAAGAACAAACATCGATCATGCGCCTTCCACGGCACTACGGAGAGTATCTCACCCTTCTTGGGCAGGAATGTCACGGTGACAGCTTGCTGGTCCTTCCGCTTCTGTCCACCAAGCAGAGCTTGGCGAACGAAGCCCTCCTGAAGGCCTCCGATGGTGACGTAGTTTCATGTGCAAGGAAACCCACAGCAGTTGGAGCCCCTTGTGAGAGCCTCAGCATAGAACACCAGCAATGGGCACATGCCTTAGCCGAATCCCGACTGGCCTGCTTTCGTGATCTGGAGGCTCAGCTGCTGAAAGGACAGTGTCGGCGCAGACCGTGGCCAAGTCCATCATGAAACAGCGGACGCAGGAGCGGAGGAGCGATAGCAGAGAGCAAAAGCCGCCACGAAGTCTTGCCAAAGCCACGACGAAGATCTCTTCCTCGTCTCTGTTGCACGCCACTGCAGCAGGTATCTCATCCGTTGACGGTGTGGAAGGCCCAAAGACCCGAAACTTAACCCCAGAACCCGTATCCGCAGTGCTGTCAAACACTCTGTCTTCTGGCGGCGGTTCCCTTGTCGACGCATTTGCAACACGGCCTCACGGCATCGCACAATCTTCTGGATCCCTGCGCCTGAGCCTTAATCCCACAAGCCCCAGTTCTTCTTGCCAGTCTTGGGCTTCGGGCATCAAGCAACAGACGTGCCCTCACTTGTTCCTTAACTGTTGACTGGCGCAGCAACAACGGCTTTTTCCATGCAGGAAATCGTGGTGCTTCGTGTTCAACAACCTGCAATTAGCCGTCGTAGCTCCACTGGCCTTGCCTAGCCAAAACCACCCAAGGACAAGTGGCCACAAACATGCCGATGGATCAGCAAGCCATTCAAAACAGAGACCACTCTGCCGTGCGCCACCATTCTTGTCGTCAAGGACAAAAGTGGAGTCGTCTTAAGCCTTGGTGCGGCAACCACTTTTGAGAACGGTGAGTTCTCCATAAACTCGGAGATTTCTGATGTTCTGACATAGGGTTGCACTCCGAGTCGCTAGTCCAAAGGAACAACACAGGCCATTGCAGGAGAATCCGAGGCGTGATGCTCACCGAGCCACTAAGCCGGAAGCACCGTGGTACCAGCAATGGGTCGCAATCGCAAATATCGCAAACCCCCCTAGGGAGCCAAACCGCAGGTGAAATTTCCTCTCGACGTCGCAAGCTGAAATCTGAAATCATGTCTGCTTGCAGCTGTAGCTTGATGGGTGGCTGCAGCAGTGCAACGGCAAAAAACTTAGGAGACCCTCGCATCTCACGAGCTTTGCTAACTGCTGCTCCAGGCAGTTTCTGTCCCGACATTCTGTTTGAACGTGTTTTCAGCGCTTGGTGGTGTTGTAAGCCTTTGCGAAAGACACCAAGTTCAAAGACCCCTTGAATTGCTGAGTTTAGGGGCTAAGGTCTGCCTCTGACAGAAAGGAACCTTGGGCTTTCTGTCAACAGGTGGGTGGAGGGCCTTGGGTTCGGTTTCCAGTGTTAGGGTTCAGGTTCACATCTATAGGTTTACGGCTTAGGAGGTTGAGGTGTCGGGCCTGGGGTGTTTAGGATTTAGTTGTTGGACTCTCACAACTCGGACTGCAGGCGAGGAGGATGTCGTTTCTAGGGTTTCCGGGTTTGGGTTTGGGGGCGTGTTCAGTGTTTAGGCCAGCATTCTTCAAATCTGAAACGGCGAAGCCTGAAATGGCAGGATTACTCTTACAGGGACCCCTGAATCATATGCTAAAAGGGTTCCGGAGGCTCCATCGCTGGATCCAGGGCTCCGCAAAACCTGGAACCCTTGGCTCTTAAATAGTCTAACGGACTCTGCAAAGTAGCACAGTCAAACGTAGAAACTAAGTGTCTGCACGGACCCTCTGGGTAAAAATACCCTTCAGTCGGAGGGCCTGCATCGGAACCCGCTCGATCTCCGCCGCAGCATACTTCGGGGACGAGACGAGGCTCCAACAATCGAAGGCCTCCGAGACCAGGGTCTCGGACGCGCTGAAGAGTTTAGGGTGTGGGGGCTTCAGGGTTGCTAAACACAAAAGCCAAAACCCAAACACTACAGCTTCAAATCACTTGGCTTAAAGGGGCTTCGGATTTCATTCAAGGCTTTTGAGGGTTTCAAGAGAGGAGGTGACGGACTGGTTAGTCAAGAGACGCGGGCGGGATGGCGGCATGATTGAGTGAAGCTGAAGCGGGAAGTAGCTGCGACTCTCCTCCTCCTCCTAATTCTCCTCCCGCTGCTACTGCTACTAGCTGCTACTGCTATTGTTACTGCTGCTACTACTGCTGCTACTGCTACTACTACTACTACTGCTGCTGCTGCTACTACTACTACTACTACGACGACGACGACTACTACTACTACTACTACTGATCTTCTGCTGCTACGAGCCCCAATCTCTCGAACATCATTTACTTCCCCTGCTCACGTCGTATCTTTCTGGCCCGAGTAGAAATATATCCATGTCATCTAAATACAAAAAAGAATAATTCCAACATACATTCATTTACATGTTTATTAGCATATGTAAATACACAGAAGCGCATATGGACCATGGTCCGGCCCTGTCCCATGCATTTTCTCACTTTGAACTTTGTGTATACCCTGAGGCAAGCGACATGGAGCCCGAGGTGCATGTCGATAAGCCCCAGAAACGAAGGGTTCATGTTTGCCGGTCTCGCGTGAAGCTCGAGAGAGCATGCAAAGAACAAATTTAGCCAACGTTATAGTGAAACATATTATGAGTCTGGTGATTAGGTTAGGAACCCCAGAAAATAGGACAGTGCAGAGTATATATTTCTTGATATGGTAAAATCGCCACTTTCCATCCGACGGCCAGCCGCTATCTGCCACGCAAACAGTGTTTGCAGTAGACTTGCTTGTTATTCACTTTTTTGCTTTTCAGAACCAGCCATGAGCTGAAAGAACATGTGTTAAAATCTCATCAGTTTCGGTGTTGTTTAATTTTTTCTCAACCAGTAATATAGCAAACATGACGGGAACTTATTAAAGCTAATTTCCAACTCAATCTGCTAGCGATTGACTAGCGTGCAGTTCAATATGGGAATAACAGCAGAATGCGATTACAGTTCCGGTATATATTATATCAACATCCAAACAAAGGAGCACAATTGGATATGTAACGCGGGAAGCAACTGTTTGGTTTAGGCTCGCTTGAATATCACTGAAATACTCACGAAGTTGAATTAAACAGCAACCGCATACTGGCGAAGTCTCATTTAAGCATCATCAAGTATTGCGTATATGCTCGGTATCTATGAATTACTGATATTCTCATTCTCCTTTACTTGCCGTGATCTACCTCCTA